ATGAATGGTGCTGTGGAGCACCACAAAGAGAGGCGTTTCAGAGACTTAAAGCTGAACTGAGCTCACCATGGGTGCTGGCTTCATACTCGCCTACAGCAGAGACTTGTGTGTCAGCAGATGCCTCATCCTATCGGGGGCGGTCCTCAGCCAACAACAGACGGACGGAACATGGAGACCGATTGTGTTTATCTCCAGAGGCCTGTCGGAAGCTGAAAAACATTCTGCACAGATCGAAAAGGAGGCTCTTGTGGCTACGTGGGCATGTGAATGACTGATGCCTTACCTCCTGGGCCTGGAATAGAGACTGACCATAAGCCTCTAGTGCCATTGCTGAGTACCAAGGCATTAGATGAGTTCCCCCCAAGAGTGCTCAGGTTCCAGCTAAGGAACCTTATCAAGAGCCCCTGTGAATCACACACTCACACAGGATGAGACAGAAAATGAGGCAGAGGTCAAAGTGTTTGTGGATGCAATTATCCAAAGCCTCCCTGCAACAGAAGCAAGACTGAAGGTCATTTAAGAAAAAGAGAAAGCAGACTGTGTTTGTGCGAAGCTCATCAGGTATTGTAAAACAGAGTGGCCTGAGAAACATGCCCTCCCTCCAGAGCTGGGGCCATACTGGCCTGAGAGAGAGACCCTCGCTTTAGCAGGAGAGCTACTTCTCAGAGGCCAGAGAATTGTTATCCCTCACTACATGAGACAGGATATTCTCAGCAACCTCCACAGTGGGCACCAAGGTATCGGCAAGTGCAGAGCACGAGCTCGCCAGTCTGTCTGGTGGCCAGGACTTTCAGTACACATCAGTCAGCTGGTGGAGAACTGTGCTGCATGCTCACAGCACAGAGCAGACCACAGAGATCCCTTGCTAACCACTTCAGTGCAAGAGAGACCCTGGCAGAGAGTGGGCACAGACTTGTTTTTCTGGGAGAAAAAGACTTATCTGCTTGTAGTTGATTATTTCTCCCACACAGATACCCACAGGCAAATGGGGAAGTGGAGCGTGCAGTTGCTACTGTGAAAGGACTATGGAAAGGAGGAGAAGATAAACTGAAAGCTTTGATGACATATCGTGCTACACCTCTGGAATGTGGTTATTCTCCTTCACAACTCCTCATGGGCAGACAGCTGCGCACCACCATACCACAGCTGCCAGCGTCCCTCCTGCGCCGATGGCCAAACATCAGAGGATTCAGGAAGTTGGAGAAGCGGGCAAAAGAGAATCAGCAGTGCATCTACAACCTGTGTCACAGAGCCCGCATCCCGCAGCCACTACAACGCGGCCAAAATGTGTGGCTTCCAAGAGAGAAGACACAAGGGACAGTTAATCAACAGGCTACAACACCTAGGTCATACATCATTCACACAGATTTAGGACAGGTTAGGAGAAACTGCACACACATGCGCCCTCTGACCCATTCACAACCTTGGACACCACCTGAAGCAGTTGTTACAACTCCAGAGCCGAGCAACATAGAGACTCACACAAACATCACCCCTGACACAAACAGTCACAAGCATACAGACACAACAAGCACATCCTATGTGACAGCCTCAGGAAGAGTGTCACGTCCTCCAGAGCGGTTGGACTTGTAAATATCTTTAGTTAAAACAGAAAGAAAAAGGACAGTTGTAAAGTAGAGACTGTGAAGGTGTGAAGAATGCAGTCTAATGTTTGATTGAGTTCTTTATGTGATGTTCTGTTATAAAAGAATAAGCAAGAGTTTTACCTCTGTGAGTGTTGGAAAATGTCACAGGCGGGTTGTTTCCACCCAGACCATTGAGTGTGTAACACAAGTTGTGAGTAAATGTTCCTGCTGAGCATACACATCATTCTCTGTGTCTTTATTTGTTGAGTTTTATGTTCTCATTCACATATAAATATACATGATGTGATGTGTAGTTTGACTTACAGTGTTCATATGTATATGTTTTATACAGCGTTTATTTTGTATGCACTTGAAGAACAGTGTACATGTTGAGATCTTATTTTGTTATTCATGACGTGACTTCCTGTTGTGATGCGTTATGTTTTGCGACCTACTTTACGTTAAGATGTAAGAGCGGGAGATTGGTTGTTGTATTCCATGGCTTCTGACGAAATGCTATTCCAGTTAGCTGTGAAGAAGAAATGAATAAAAGGTGACGTGATAACATCAAAGTGTGATTCTTGGTAACATGGCTGACGAAGCAGCCGACCCACCAGTTGAAGCAGTCAACCCAACATTATTAATTACTGTTAGGGTGCTAACATAACAGGAAGAACAACTGGCAGAAAAAAGAAACAACAGAGAGTATTAATGTCCAAACTACAGATTATTATAATTCAGTCCCATTGTTAGTTCACCTTGACGATAATAACTCCTTTTTTTTTTTATTTCTGAACTGCATGTGCGTGTCTGACTCTTTCATGTGGAGACTATAACAGTTTGAGAAGTTATATTTCAACTCTGATGATAACAGACAGAGTGGCAAGGAGACACATTCATATGAAAGTATCATTCAAAGACACAAGATATTCATATTTGTTTGTCTGTTTGTTTTTCTTATTTTATTTTATTTATTTATTTTTTATGGTTTTTCTTCATTTATGTTATTATTTTATTCTTTCCTCTCTCCTCTTGCTCCCTTAAAAATAAATCAATCTTTGGATACGTAAAAAACCCTGTACAATACCCCACTTGTAAGTTTCAGTCTTCCGAAGTATCCTCTTTGGTTTCCTTGTTCTTTAGCACCTCTTCCAACTTCTTGTCCTTCTCCTATGCATGAGTGTGAATAGACTCCTGGGTAGACTATTGTGAAAACAGACCACCTTCTAACCCTAACCCAGAGAACACGAGTCAGAAAACACGAGTCAGAAAACACGAGTCAGAAAACACGAGTCAGAAAACACGAGTCAGAGAACACGAGTCTGAAAGCACGAGTCAGAGAACACGAGTCAGAGAACATGAGTCAGAAAACACGAGTCTGAAAGCACGAGTCAGAGAACACGAGTCAGAGAACACGAGTCAGAAAACATGAGTCAGAAAACACGAGTCAGAAAACACGAGTCTGAGAACACGAGTCCTCCAGGTTGGATTATTGTAATTGTCTTTTGTCAGGGTGCTCTGGTAAGTCTCTAAAGACTCTTCAACTAATCTAGAATGCTGCAGCTCGTGTACTGACTAGAACTAGGAAAAGGGACCACATTACTCCTGCGTTGGCTTCTCTGCACTGGCTCCCTATACAATCTAGAATAGAATTCAAGATCCTTCTTCTCACTTACAAAGCTCTAAATGGCCAGGCACCATCTTATCTTAAGGAGCTACTAGTGCCGTACTGTCCCTCGAGAACATTACGGTCTCAGAATGCAGGCCTGGTAGTGGTACCTAAAGTCTCTAAATGTACTGTGGGAGGTAAAGCCTTCAGTTATCAGGCTCCTCTCCTCTGGAATCATCTTCCAGCCGGGGTCCGGCAGTCTATTTAAGAATATACCAGGGGAACTGGCACCTTGAGCTCCTCTCTCTCTCTCTCTCTCTCTCTCTCTCTCTCTCTCTCTCTCTCTGTGCATATACAGTACATTATATTACTGCATGTATCTATCTGTAAATCTCAGTCACAAACCACCTACTTTCCTGGGAGCTCTTGAGCTCTCTTACCCCAAATTCACACATACTCCGTGCGCACCGTGGTCCGTCAGCACTACGTTGTAATTAGCTGTCACTTTAGTCAATCATTGTGTTCACACAGGGCGCACTGCGGTCCGTCTCCGGCGCGTGCCACCAACGTCACTACGCTCTGCTCCGTTTCAAATACGCAGCGAGTCTATTTTCGCCAGAGTACGCTGCAGGCACGCGTCAAGCTGGACAGAATATGACAGTCCGGACAGGAAGTCAGACAAGGAAACACACAGAGCATCTGGTCAATTTCAAAATAAAACACAATATACGGACTCGCGATCATATTTTTAATAAAAATAATAATAATGTATACTTTATTGATCCCACGAGGGGAAATTTGTTTTTACACTCTGTCTAGTTAACATGCTCCGTCCGACAGAGCAAAACCGTGTATGAGTATGTGTGAATTGGGGGTTAGGCTCCTCGAGATCGTTGGTTGACGGCCTGCCAGAACAACCCCCCACGGGATCGTTGATGGACGGCTTGCCTGAACAACCCCCCCCCCCTGCTCCCTATCCCTCTTCCTGCATTTTATCCCATCTCTCCCCTATCCCTTTCTTTGTCTTTGTAATATAGCAATAAGTAAAGTCTTTTACCTGCTTTTTGTAACATAACAATAATAGCCGTGTTCACATATGCACTCCGGATAATATCTAGATATTTACAGGAGGACATATGCTCCTCACAGCGGGGGAATTTCCATGTCAGAGGGGAGGGGGGGACTATCCCTGTCAGAGGGGAGGGGCCACGGGGGATTTCCCAACGTAAGACGTGACGTAAATAAACAACGCGGAAGTAGCGGCTGAAGCAACACAATCCGCTACACGACGTTATAATGAGAATATTTGCCTTTATATCAATGCTGTGTAATCGAATGTAATGACAACATCCACAAAAGAGTGGAGAACAACATACTGACGAACAGAAAACATAATGCAGCCGTTTAATTACGTTCATGGAGATCGTAGTGGTCGCTTGCAGACACTTTAGCCGGTCACTGTATATAAACGTCATTCTCTTTTCATTGGCTGAAATTGAAATCTCCGGAGTATATTCGGCTGCGTTCAGACATCAGCTCACTTGAATATTCTGCGGATAAAATAATAGGGGTCTGGCCAGATAAACACCGGGTAATGTCCGCGCGAAAAATGAGGCTGTTTGCGTTCACACATAGCCTGAGTTTTTCAGAAAGATTTCCATATGTGTGAAAAGGGTTTAAGTAAGGTCTTTTTACCTGCTTTTTGTAACATAACAATGAGTAAGGTCTTTTACCTGCTTTTTGTAACATAACAATGAGTATGGTCTTTTTACCTGCTCTTTTGTAAAGTGTCTCGAGATAACACTTGTTATGAGTTGATGCTATACAAATAAAAATTGATTGTTGATTGAGTCTGAGAACACGATTCAGAGAACACGAGTCAGAGAACACGAGTCCCTTCTATGACCTAATACGATGTGAAAAACATTTAGCAGCTCAACTGAAAACAGCCACGTTTTCATCCAAATGAATGCCTTTTGGTGTTGTAATATAATCAAGCATTAATTAATTCCACCGCCATTATTCAACAAGGTTTAGTATAAATGTGAAATAAAAATTAAACTGCAAGTTGCTCTTTAAGTGAAATAAAACATTTCAAACCTTCACCTTCTCTTTCTTTGCTTCATCTCCATACATTTGTATAAAAGCCTGCAGCTTTCTGTTTTCTGTTTGTTTGTTCAATGTCAGCAAACACAGTTCAGAAAGACAAATTGACTTTAGCAAGAATCATCAGTTTGACAGTTTGTGACATCATATAAGTCCAGAAAAGGGGACGTCAGGTCACTTCACTTACAGACATTCACATCCAAACCTGCAACACTCGTAGAAAGTAGTGAGAAGTGTTTCTGATTGAAAGATGTTGAGAATCTGCAGCAGAAATCTGGTGAGTAACAAACTTGACTTCATTCTTCCAGTTCTGCAATGTGTTTGAACGTAATGTGACTCAGTCTGGATATCCTGTCACTCATTCACACTTTTTCAATAAATAAACTTGAGAAGTTAAAATAGGAGAGCACAACACAAAAGCAGTTTTTATGTACTTTTATGTTGTTTGTTTCTTCAAACCTTTATTGAGCAAAGACATTAGAGGATGTCATATGTCACAATTATTAACTAACACATTTGTTGTGTCCCTCAGGTGAAGGTGGGGATGTTGAAGCCCAGTAAGGTGATGAGACCTGCCGCTCTGCTTTCATACAGAAACATGGGTCAAGAGCAGGGTCTGCCCAAAATGCCCGTCCCCCCCCTGAAGCAGACCTGTGAGTTGTACCTGGAACTCCTGGAGCCAGCCGTGGAGCCGGCCGAGCTGCAGAGAACCAAAGAGCTGCTAGAAGAGTTTCAAAAAGCAGGAGGAGTCGGAGAGAGGCTGCAGAAAGGTCTGCAGAGAAAAGCAGAGAGAACGGACAACTGGGTGAGACTGATAAAAACACATTTACTGAGATTCATCCTGCAGTTTTAACTCTCTATTCACTAAAACACACGTGTTTCACTGTAATCTCTGCTTTTGAACTTCAGATTTAATTAAGACAGGCTCACTCTATCAGCTCTGTTTACTTATATATTAGGTCTTCATGTGAGAAAGAGATGAACTAAATGAAGAATATAGATTTCATCAGCAGCTGTTCAGGTCACAGCTGGAACTGTACCTGTGTGGTCTGATCACAGCTGAAAAACTCAATCATAGGTTTAAAACATCAGCGATGACCTCCAGTTAAACGGCCGCATGGAGTAGAAGTTTTAGTAGTAGTTTTTCTACACCGGTAAAACGAGGATCACTGCCCATTCACTGCTACAGTCTTATAACATCGACGCTACCTGGAGTTTTGCAAGTATCTGTGTCATTAAACTATATTACTTTCTAAATAATACATAGTCAGGTTTACTTCATAAGCTGGAATGTTAAGGGTTTAAATCATCCTGTCAAGAGGAGGAGAGTGCTTTCACACATCAAACTACTTAAAGCTGCAATCTCTTTTTTACAAGAAACACACATTAAAGGTTTTAATAGCGCTTGTCTAATGTCGCGGTGGGTGGGGTAGCACTTCCATTCCACTTTCCAGGGCAAGGCCAGAGGGGGTCCGATCCTTATCGGTCACAATGTTCCCTTTGAAAATCACAATGTAATATCAGATACAAACAGTCGCTATGTCATAGTCTCAGGTAAACTATATAACACAAAGGTAATCCTGACTAATATTTATGCTCCAAATGTGGATAATGCAGGCTTCTTTCAGCATTTTTTCTCTTCCTTGCCTGATCTGAGTTCATACTCTCTCATAGAGGGGGATTTTAATTGCAGGTTAGACCCTGTGCTAGATAGATCTTCTCCTAACCCCGGCATTCTCAATAGATCAGCCTCTCTTTTCAGTCTTTCCTATCCAACTACGCCACATCAGATGTTTGGCGACATCTCCACCCAACTAGGAGAGACTACTCTTTTTGTCTCGCATGTTCATCATACTTTCTCAAGAATTAATTATTTTCTTATTGATAACCAACTGCTATGATTTGCTTGCTCAACAACCTACAAAACACAGAACAAGAAATTTATCAAATACAATATGTTTTAATTTCAACATTACTTTACCAAACCATTTTTTATATAAAATGTGCCTCTTGTAAATAAAATTAAATAATTAATTTGCATGGCATACTCATAGGCTTTGTAATAATCAAACATTAGGTGCTTGTAAATAATAAAATGTTTTTACAAGTTTTTAGCAAAGAACACAAGCCTGTCCACTGCCTGTGGCACGTTGCAATGCCGCCCCTGGCCTTCCTAATAAAAAAACAAACTCAGCGTTACTGTCAGATAAAAATTTTATTGAATTTATGGAGGAGCAGATAGCTTTTTCTTCAGCACAAACATGTCAGCTGAGACCCCCAGCCTTGTTGTGTGGGATGCTATGAAAGCCTATCTCAGAGGTCAAATTATTTCGTACACTGTCAATATGAAAAGGGAGGCCAGAAGAGAACAGGATGCCCGTCTAACCCTAACCCCTAATGCCATTGGAGTAATAGATCGGCAATATGCTTTAGCGAAAGACCCCAAACTTTATAAATTGAGAACTGAACTTCAGACTAAGTATGACCTTCTCTCAACACATCAAGTTGAAAGACAGCTTAAGATGAGCAAAAGCATGTTTTATATTCATGGCGATAAATCTGGTAAGCTGCTTGCTAGTTAGCTGATATTAATATTAATACTTATTAATTCATTTAATGATGTCCTGAAAAATATGTGTAAATCACTGTCCTTAGTGTGAACATGAAGATTACCCCGATGTATTGATAGAAGCAGCACATCCATGTTTAGAGAATTTCGTTGGCTATAAGAGATGTCAGTCATGTAGACAGTTGCCTGTAATTGGCTGTCAGAACAGGGGGACGCACCTCCTTTCAACAAAGGCTCTCATTGGCTGTTATAGACTGCCATCAAGTTTGAGGAGAATAACATGTTTTGTTTTTTTATCAGTTCCATGGATCTTTATGGATCTAATGTGTTTGGATTAAATATTTTATTGATTTTAAATTGTGGGGACTAAATCTTCAAATGGTTAAAAGACGTTGTTTGATTGTAAATCGTCTGACCCGCACACACAGCTATAGTGTGTGTGTCTGCTGTCTTGGAAATTTGTAACCTGGTTATAAGGTCACATTGATGCAGACTTAATGATGATAAAAAGGATGGATCAAGTCTTATTATAGAATAATGATGTACGTCGCTTTGGATCTGCTTAATGAATTGTAGAATTGTAAGTCAATTATTATTCCAAGTCTAGAAGAAAAACAGTTTAATGATGTGGTTAAACTGAAAGGAGAATATGGATCAATGAGCGCAAACAACAGCAACTACAAAACATTCCACTGTCGGTCAACTAAAGGTCAAATCTGACGAATCAGGCTTAGTTGGGGATGGGTCTAATTGTGTCATTATGGTTTAATATTATCATGTAGTTTTTTTTTTATGTATATACTTAATTAATCCCTGACGGAAATTTGGTTTACACTCTGTTATTTATAGGGACATGCTTCTCACACACATAGGCCCGAATCACACACATGCACAAACAGGACCTGTGGACATGCATTAGTGGAGAGATGTCAGAGTGGGGCTGCTACAAGCTGCTAAGCAGAGAGCGATCAGTTTTGGGATCAAAATGAGACAATTTCACTTAAAAGGTTTTTATTTTGGGGCTTTTTTGTTTCTTTATTTATAGATAGGACAATGGATAGAGTCCAAAAGAGGGAGAGAGTGAATGGGAAATAACAATAGGTAAAGGTGCCATCAATAAGACAGACGAGTTGTATAAACATTCAGCCTGTCCAGTTGTCATGAGGGCAGAAATGAGCTCTAGAGACCCAAACTCTTTTTGTACCAGACTGTAAACATGTTTATTTCTGCTTTAAAGATGGACATTTTATCATGGGGCTCTATGAGGACTGACTCACTGCAGGAGACAGACTCTAGTGGACACTGGAGGAACTGCAGCTGTTAAGTTGGACATTTTAACATGGAGACTGCAGTGTAAAAGCGCTTTAAGTAGACAGAAGACTAGAAAAGCGCTATATAAGCTCAAGTCCATTTACCATTAACCCTTCAGTATCATTCGTTTTTACTATCCTTTTGAGTCATTCGTGGACAAAAATGTCCACTTCCAAAAACCATTCATAAAAATGATAGAAATATTTTTTCAAAACTTTTTTGGTTTGAATTTTTTAATCAACTTCAGTCCTGATCAAAACTATGAAATATTCAATTATTTTCAGGTTTTTTTTTCTTTTTCTTTTGAAAAAACTATTTTCTATATCATATATGTTGGGGGCTGAGGGATTCATTTCAAATACAGTCTTGGATTAGTCAAAGATTATCAATATTGATGAAAATGCATTATTAGTTTTTGTGCAGTGTCTGATTTAAAGTTTGCCACTCTCTTGAGCCATTCTTGGAGAAAAATTTGCATGCCCTAAACAGCTGTAAAACTAGTATAGAACAATATTTTGAGTGTTTTGTTTTATAAAAACCTGTGAAATCATTTAATAAAACTGGCATTTAAAGGGTTAAAATTATATAAATAATTGAATATTTCATAGTTTTTAACAGGACTGAAGTTGGTTAAAAGAGTCAAAGCAAAAAAAGTAGAAAAAAATATTATTCTATTTTATTTTTACAGCATTATTAGGGAGCAGACATTTTCTCCACGAGTAGCTCAAGAGGGTAATGAATTAGTATTATATAAAGTAAAATAAAAATGGAATTTTTTAATTTATCAAGACAATAAACTCCCTAAGAAAAAACCTGCCATATGCAGTAACAGTCAAAATGATAGAAAGTGAAAAATTCACCCGTTTGGACAAAAATGTCCTTAGTGATACCCAAGGGTCAAATGTGAAAATGAACAAAATTCAACTGGCTGATTGTTAGAAACTGTCTCTTCTGTCTATTAATTTATACTTTATTGATCCCGCGAGGAGAAATTCGTTTTTACACTCTGTCTAGTTAACATGCTACACACACAGGCCAAAATACACAACAGGATTCTATGGACATGCACTGATGGAGGGGTCTTGGGGTGGGGGGGCTGCCCATGGTAGGCACGGGTTGGGTGCCTTGCTCAGGGCCACCTTGGCGGTGCTCAAGAGGTGGACTGGCACCTCTCCAGCTACCAGGCCACTTGGTCTGTGCTGGGACTTGAACCAGTGACCCTCTGATTCCCAACTGAAGTCCCTACAGACTGAGCTACTCCTGCCTCTAAGTTAATGCAGTGTGTGTGTGTGTGTCTGTGTGTCTGTGTGTGTGTGTGCGTGTGTCTGTGTGTGTGTGCGTGTGTCTTTTAGCAAACAGATGATTATGTAAAGAACCTCTACATGAAAAAACGGAAGCCTTTACCTATTTTTTCTAATATGGTGGGGATGTTACCGATGAAAGACTACACAACTATCCAGGAACAGATCGGGTAACACACACACACACACACACACACACACACACACACACACACACACACACACACACACACACACACACACACACACACACACACACACACACACACACACACACACACTCAAAAACACACATACTCTTATTGACAGTTATGTTTTTTAAGGTAAACCAATAAAGAAAAATGTTTCGATGTTAGACAATAAAACAATAAAAAATCCCCATGAAAAAAATATAATATAATTATAATTGGTTATTATAATGATAATAATTATAAGTGAAGAGAGAGAATGAATACAATTAAGAAATGTGAAAAACTGGAAAGATGCTTCTGTCTGAAAAAATAAACAAAAAGAGAAAATCAGATAATAAACAGACTCTATAATCTATAATAATAATAATAATGATCTATATTGATAATGCTGATTCATAACAACCATATTTTCTGTGTTCAGGTATGCTGCTGACATCATTCTGGGTTTGTTGGACTATAAGGAGAAACATGAAGCGTGAGTTTGAAAAACCAAACAAAAACTTTTCAACAGATTTTACTCTGTGACACTCCAGGCTTTAAAATATGTAAAATTGTATCAACTAAAGATGATCAATATATTACATTTTCACAGAAAGGGAGGTGTGATGTCACAGGAAGAAAAAATGTGGGGGGGGTTAGGGTTAACCCATTTTACTAATACTCCATGAGCTGAAATGTGGTTAATAAATGGCGTTAATAAACCAATGCTGAAGTGTAAAATCCTGCAGTTCCTCGAGTGTCCACTAGAGGCTGGCTGCAGAAGCACAGGAATTCACATACACACTCATTCAAAAAAGCCTGTTTTTACAGTAGAGATCAACATGTTTACAGCCTGGTTCAAAAACCAAATGGTGGGGACTTCCAGTGATGCAGATTGAGTGACAGCGCCCAAAGAGAGCTCCCGCATTTTCAGTGCAAATATCCATATTATTTACTTCTGTTGCAGTCCAAACTAGCATTAAACATTGTCAGAAGTTTATGGGATGTCCCTGGAGCAGTGCTGGAGAAATTTGCTTGTTAAAATGGCTTCCAAAACAGCTAAGAAGACTCAGGAAAAGAAGCACACTTGCTAGCAATGCTGACAAAGCACGAGATGGCGTAGCGGAGACAATAGAATCGGAACTGCTGAGCCCTGCAGTGGAAAAAATCTCAAGCGTGATAGAAGCAAAATTTGACTCCTTTCTTCAGAAAATTGGAGACATAACGAAGGAACTGCAGGAAACAAGTAAGCGGGTCGACGAAGCTGAACATCATATTACAGCTGTGGAGGACGGCAATGTTGAGACAGAGTAGCATGTGTTGTACCTGGAAAAAGCCGTGGCGTCGCTGCAGGAGCGCCTTGATGACCAGGAGGACAGAGGCAGATGCAAAAATCTTAGAATTGTTGGCTTGCCAGAATCCTGAGAGGGCAGCTCGGTGTTAAATTTCATGGAGTTATGGATCCCCAAAGTCCTGGCACCCACCATCAAGGCCGGAAAGATTAAGCTTAAAAGGGCGCACCGAGGGTCTGGCTGGCGTGGAAAGGAGCCGGGTCTCGGAAGCCTTATCCCTGCGTCATGATTGTGAGGTTCCATCATTTCGCAGGGATAAGTCTCGGGTGCTGGAGGCAGCCAGAAGGGCGAAAAATTTAAATTTGGAGGGAAACAGGATCTTCTTCTTCCAGGACTTCTCCAACGGAGCAGGTTACACAGCTATGGCCTTAACTATCCTGCTTCCTTGAGAATCACTGTAAACAATGCTACGAAGTCTTTTGACAAGCCCGAGGCAGCGCTGGCATTTATAAACACCCTGGGGGAGGCAAATACACCTGACAGATAAGCGTGAGTAATGTATCTGTGCACTGTTTACGGACGTTCAGTTAATTTTGTGCTAAAACTGCCACCAGGACACTCACAGCTGTAAAAAATTGTTGTTGGGGCTGGTGTGTTGCACTTTTGGCTGTGCCTTCTGTTCCTGTATATTTTGTAAAATGTTATGTGGAAAACAGCCGACGGCCATTCACCGCGAAAGGAAATTGGACTTTGCCAGAAATATACGAGGAGTGTCGTAAATGTTGAAAACGACTGGCAATGAACGGAAAGGGCCGTAGGCGGCCGAAAAAGAGTAAAAGGGTGCGTTCGAATTGCCCCTCCTATCTCCTTTCACTATCCACTTTACCTTAACCCCGGGGAAAACGTCATAAGGTTAAGGAAATATGTTAGGAGAATTCATAAAGGATTTAGGGAAAGGCGATCGCGTTTCTCTGACAATCCGACCGCATTTTCCACTAGGCGACGTAATTAAATGTGACGGGCTGGCGGAGGTTAATGACGTGGGTCTGCCGTGGTGAAACTACAATGTTAAGAAAATGGACTACTAAAAGCGCATCTAAAAAACTTTCCCCTGTGCCTTCTTACCGGTGAAATAATCTTAATTACCACAAGGTTGGGATTGAAATAAAAGCAATATAGACTACCAGGCTACGAGTAACAAAAGTGAAACCATCACCTTCCTGTCCACTCATAAATCAACATCAACATAAATATGATTGTATGAAATTAATTGTTACATTTATGCAAGATAGGCTATAGCCTACATAATGTTTTAAGCATACAAATGTACCATTGCAGAAAGTATTCTTAAGTGAATACATTGAATAAAACATCATCTGGCTTAAAATGTCTCTTATCTTTTTATCCCTTACATGATCTGTGTCACTTTACGATCATGGTATATTTTCGTGAACGGTCGGATGCGTGACTCGTTTTAAATGTTGCGGCCGAAAGGAATCCAATTAAATGCTTCCGGGTCATTTCACTCAGTTAGGAACCTTCCTAAGCAAAAATGACAATTCAAACACACCCCCAGTGCCTTCACACTGTCTCATGTTGATAACACCACTAGGTGGCAGTACAGACTACCCAATCATGTCTGCATCTCTTGTTGTTAGATCTTAAATATAGGATATATTATCTGTAGTGGTTGGTTTTAGTTTGTGATTTATTAATTGAAAGAAATGGAAGCCTCTTGATATTTTGGTTAGATGATTGAATTATTTGTTATTTCCCTTTTGTGGCTATCCAAAGAAATATAGTTGTATTGATAGAATGGGAGGTATAAAACCGGACTTCTATTACCTAATACATAATGGGCTGACTAAAGGCCTGATTGCACTTGATTTTGCGGACTCTGTACGGACCATATACGCATCCAGAGTAAGGTTAAGAGTACTTAGATTTAAGGGTTTCTCTTCTGAAGTGGAGGTTCTCACTTTTATCATGTTCTTGAAATTGCTTTGTTCATTTACTCATGGGGTTAGTATGTGTGTATATAGTTTTGTTCAGGGGTTGTTTAGCAGGGTGGTGACAGCACAGTCTGATATACGGGGCAAGTTAGGTTATGGATAGTAATATAGATTCAGGTTCAGGACAACAACCTCTCGTAGCTTCACACAAGGTTTTGTTTATCTTGGTATATTTATCACTCCGATACTTCAAAAAATGTATAAAGCCAATTTTCAACCTAGAAAGATGGGTATCTCTTCCACTGTCAATGCTGGGAAGGATAGCTTATTTATTTATTTATTTTGATTGATTTATTTATTTGTTGATTTTGACAGGGACAGTGTACAGCCAATTAGCTGCACCAGAGTTAGCTATAAGCTAATTTACATCTGTAGTCTCTGGGCAGGAGACAGAGACAACATCTCTGTGAAAAAACAAAACATACACTAACAACATCATCACAACAGTAAGACAGTACACAACCACTGAACAATGGCATTACACTAGTCCACAGTGAAATTCATACATTATATTAAAACAATAATAGGCTAAGAGCACTTGACTTTAAAAATTACACTAGAAAACAACAACACAGCTATACGGCAACATACTGTATATCTCCAATACACCACAGCATCAAAGCCGTAATAACATACTGTATCAATACACTACAACATTATCAAACATAGTTCATGAAAAAGTGTTTATGTGTGAAGAGGACATGATTGAGTTGACCCATTGTTGACTTTTTGTCCAGTGCCTTGAGTATTTGCTTGTACAGGGTTTGGAGAGGGGCGAGTGTTGTTTAACCTGCTTGCAACCAGCTTGTGATACAATATGACATGTGTGAGAAAATCATTGAGTGCACATATAGCTTTGCTGCATTAATGGGTAACTGGTTTCAGATAAACCTGAAGTTCCTTAGGTTAAATTTTATAGTGTTACACAGTTATTTCATGTGTTTCTTAAAAGACAGTTGCGAGTCTTTTAGGATTCCTAGGTATTTATAATGTGAGACTGTCTGTATCCTTTCACCGTTTACACTGATATCTGGTTGAAATCCATTTTTCCTTATATAAAAATACATGCAAGCTGTTTTGCTCACATTAAGTGTGAGGCAAGATTCTGTGAGCCAATCTGCAATCTTAGACATCGCTGACGTTAATTTGCTTGCAACTTCTTCCCTGTCTTTATCATGTGTGTAAATGATAGTGTCATCTGCATACATTTGGATTTCAACTTCTGGGCATACAAGTGGCAGATCATTGACATATAAACTGAATAAAATAGGTCCTAGAATTGAGCCTTGAGGGACACCAACACAGCAGTCAACAAAAGATGAAGTCCTATCTTCAACTTGTGTGCTTTGCCTCCTCGTTGTTAGGTATGACTCCATCCATTTGATTGCATTTAAGGAGAAGTTAAAATTGTATAACTTTGAGAGGAGAACATTGTGATTTACCGTGTCAAATGCTTTTCTTCCAAGTCCAAAAATACAGCCCCTACAGCATTCCCACTGTCAAGTTGTTTTAATTTGATTTTTTCAATGAGGTAGCCAGCAGCCATTTCAGTAGAATATTTTTTCCTAAAGCCAAATTGCATGGGATGAAGCGAGGTTTGTCCTGAGTTTAAAAAGTCAGTTAGTTGCTCTGAAACTACTTTCTCAGCGATCTTTGATACGATTGGCAAAATACTGATGGGTCTATAGTTAACTACATCAGTTATCCAACTCTCAACTGTCAACTGTTATCCTGTCTTAAAGATGGGGACAACAACAGCAGACTTCCATGTATTAGGAAATAATGATTGTTTAATTGAAAAATTAACCTGATGTGCAATGGGAGTGCTGAAGAGCCCTGTATTGTTTAAAAAAAAAAGTGAGTCCCATTGAAAGATATCTTTTGCTTTTGAGGTTTTTAAAGAGTTTAGGACTTTAAAAATGTTTTCCTCTGGGACTTCAGTTATGCTAAAGGCCGTTTTGGTGGGGTTAGGAGTTGAATTTTTTTTCATTCTTGTACTAAACGTAGATGTCAGATTCTGCACTGAATCAATGAAGTATTTGTTGAAGGTCAAGGCAATTTCGTTTGGATCAGTAGATAAAACTCCTTGTATTTTAAGTTCATTTCCCGTTAACTGCTTCTGCTTCTCAGTTTGTTAATTTATTAATATTCTTCCATATCATTTTGCTATTTCCTTTTGCCTCTTTAATAATATCCATGAAAAAGTTGGCCTTTGCCTTTCTAATTTCATTAACTACTTTGTTACGAAGGTTTTGGAAAACACGTTGATCGTTACTTGATTTAGACTTTAGTGCTGTTTTTAAAGCAAAGTCACGCTTTTTCATCAAGTCCCAGAGTTGTTCATTAAACCATGGTAGATTCTTCTTAGTACGCCTGTTCATAAATGTTTTAGTGTATTTTTCTTTGATATTATTAATAGTGCCAATAAAAGATTCACATGAGTTCTCAAGGTCAGAGGTGAGCAAAAAATCACTCCAATCGATTTGATCTAGGTCGTCCTTGAATCTACTCATGTCTTGTTTTGGTATTTTGTGAGAACATTTATTTATGTTGTTGATAAATAAACCTGTTTTCTGTAAGTTTTCTCGCAATAAGTGTCATATTATGGTCAGACAACCCAGTAAGTAGATTATAGGATTTGATAATGTTCTCTGGTTTATTACTAAAGATAAGAACAATTTGAGTTTTTGACAAATTTGTTATTCTTGTTGGTCCTTCTATTAACAGGGATAGTTCAATTTTATTTGTAAGTGCTTTAAGCTTCTTTCTAGTTGTTTTTTCTGCCCAGTTTACATTGAAATCACCAACAACTATGCATTCTTTCTTAGTATCTAGTTCCTTTAACAAGTTATCAAAGTGTGTATAAAACGTAGCATCAGACGTGGGGGATATATATATGCCAATTACACTGAAAGACATTTGCTGGGAAAAGATGATAGTGACAGCGATGCATTCCATCTCACTTGCGCATGCCAGGTCAATTTGTTTACATTTAATATCCTCTCTTTTCTGAAAACGTTGTAGCCAGGCATGGTATAGGACGCCACAGGTGATGATTTATTAAGCCAAGTTTCAAAAAGACACAGGAAGTCCAGATTTGAGTCCGTCAGGAGTTTTTCTACCTGTTCGCTTTTTGGTTTTATGCTACGGATATTCAAATGTCCCCCAAGGATACCTTTTGGTTTCGCGCGTGGATCCCAGATAATTTTGGAGTGCTGGACAGTTTGAAAGAGGCCAATGTTAAAGTGTTTTCTGATGACCGGGTGTCGTGGTCCGTGAGTGTTTGACAGAGGAGAAAAGTGTCCTTGAGGGTCGGTGTTACCTCGAAAGGAGAGTGCCCGAGCTGCAGGCTGCAGGTCGTGTACGCAGCTCTGATCAAGATGATTATCTTGCCCAGGCTGCTCTACCAATTCCAAATGATTCCGATCCTGTTAAACAGTAACACTACTAAGACAATAAATAGTTGGTTTAGGACTTTCATTTGGAAATGTAAGAAACCACGACTTAAGTTTTCAAAGCTCCAATTGCTGGTAGATCGTGGAGGGATGGCAGTCCCGAACATCAAGCTATATCAACTAGCTTCTCAATTTCGCTATCTGGTCGATTGGATACGAAACGATTCAGAATCTGTTTTGCTAGATATTGAACTTTTAATATGGGCAAACCAAACACTAGCCAGTCTCCCATTTGTCTTGAATAAAAAAGCATTAGAGGTTGCTGATGACAATGTTATTGTTAAATCTACACTGAAAGTGTGGGACTTAATTAGAAAATGGGAGAGAGAACAGGCGTTTTGTCAGCAATCACTCCAATACGGAAGAATATAGACTTTCCACCAGACATGTCAGATGATGGGTTTTCTTTGTGAGAAAATGCAGGTATAAGAATCCTAAAGGATTTATTTGACAGGGACAAAATCATGTCGTTTGACCAACTAAGACTGAAATATAGACTGCCTCTTTTAAGGTTCCTACAAGTAAGAAGTTTTTTGCACAATCATACTGGGTCTAAGTTCAGCCTAGAAATGTCGCCAATTTAGGAATTACTGTTTAAAATGCGCAGCAATAGGTTTGTAACAGGACGTTGCTACAAGGCCCTTTATAAGTCCAGTAAAGTAAATGATGCAGTTCTGCAAACATGGGCTCAGGATCTTGGGGTGGAAATTGACGAGGCCACTGGGATAGGTGTATGGGAGCACGCTAATAACATATAAATACGTAACAGAGCAAAAGAATTACAATTTAGGCAGCTTCAGCTATGTGTACTAAGTGTAGCAAGGAGATCGGTAGCTTTATACTTACTGCGTGGTCTTGTGTGCATACAGGATTTTTGAGGGAACTTTGTTTCAAAGTTGAATGTGGTTTTTAACAAGGATTTGAGAATGGACCCAGTATGCCTTCTGTTAGGGATGCCACATCCACAAATCAAGGGCACCCATAATCAAAAACTGCTGAATGTGTTAACCTATGCTGTAATAAAAGTTTATTACTTAAATGGATTTCACAAAAGCCACCAACCCTCTCAGATTGGCACAAGGTTATATTTGACCTGCTTCGCATGGAATATTTCACATATTGGTCCAGAGGGAAAATTTGAATTTTTCATCATGTATGGTCTCCGTTTCTTGATTATGTGGGGCCAAGAATATGTAATGTATTCTGGAGGGTCCTTCCTAGACCAAGGAGTCATAGTTGAAAGATAAGGATAGGCTCTGTTGTCTGTATCGATTTACTCACTGTGTGTATCTGTTTACTGTGTGTTTGATTTGCCATGTTGATAACTCATCTAGTCAGTGATTTAAGACTGCTGTGCCTTGTATACAAGTCTGGAGGAATGTGTTGATGGGGTGGGAGGTTGTTAGAGGGTGAATGTGTTTATTTTGTGTGCGGGGGAAAATGTAAATCTATGTAATATGTGATTAAGATGAAGATGTGATGCTTTATTGTTAATAAAAATATTTATTTTATTTGCTTATTTGGCTCATGTCTCGATCGGCACACACTGTACGGGGGGGTGAATGTTTTGATGACTCATCAGTTTTGATTTGATGAAGGATAAGAGTTTTTCACAATAAGGCGTGTAGCTGACCTGATTGACAGGTGGGCGCGGTGTAATGTTTTGTCCAGCCTGTCGTTAGGTTGACTGAAAGTTAGACTGAGACAGCATTTCTTTAGAGAGGAGGGAGAAGGGGCAGACAGCTCCCTCCAATGTTTTGAATTTGAACTTCAGTAGCACTTTTAATCACTAGGTGTCAGAGTGACATATTGGTCCATTAAGTGATTTTCATTATCAGAGTTAATTCATTTATTGTTTTTGATCAACAGCACAGGATATTAATCGATTGAATGTTTTTGCAGTGGTAGACTTCATGCGTCTATACAAGGGTTCCCGCTGTGTATGTCCCAACATGACGGCTTACTCGGATCCAGTAGGATCCCACATCCGGAGGTCGATTCTCTACTGTTCTTCTTGAAAAACCCCAACCCCCCCATACATATGAGCGTGGTTCACAATGGTCAGGTGAGCAACACCTGTCTCTTTTTTTTATGAAACCTTTTGAATGCAAGCTCCAGATTATCATCACACTGTTACAGTTAGAGGAGTTTGTGATGCAGTTTGTGTGTGATTCCAGTTCTTCAAGATGGACGTGTACCACAGTGACAGGTCTAAGCTGAGTAAGGACGAGCTCTGTGTTCAGATGGAGAGAATCTGTAACTCAGCAGTACAGCCCGACCAGGAACCTGTTGGCATCCTAACCTCTCAACGCAGAGACATCTGGGGGAGAGTTTATGAGGACCTTGTCAAAGGTGACAAATAACAACCCTAACACCTAACAAACATCTACATTGATAGCTACACAACAGCATCGTCTGAAGATACAACTTGTGTGTTCTCGTGTGTAGATGAAACCAACAAACAGTCATTGTACGCCATCCAGAGCAGCATCTGCACCATTTGTCTGGATGGACCGACGCCCCCTGTGGCCAACAACAGTCAATGCAGCAAAGGGATGACGCAGATGTTGCACGGAGAAGGAAGTAACTGGAACAGCTCCAACCGCTGGTTTGACAAGGGTGCACAGGTCAGATGGTACACACACACACACACACACACACACACACACACACACACACACACACACACACACACACACACACACACACACACACACACACACACACACACACACACACACACACACACACACACACACACACACACACACACACACACACACACACACACACACACACACACTTTTTGTGCCTAGGCAGCATCATCTCATGTGTTTAGATGAAATCAACATACAGGCATTGTACGCCATCCAGAGCAGCATCTGCACCATCTGTCTGGATGGACCAACGCTATAGGCCAATGCCTAGGCCTACCCAAAATGAGCCAGACTACCCATCAAAGAAATCGCCTGACTTGCCAAAATGTAAACAAATAAAAAATTAAATACAATAATAGCCTATTGGTTTTTTCATCTCAAAAGTTGGCTGCGTGTATGGAGGACTAAAAGTGCCAAAATGAAATACATAAATATCTAATTAATTAAATCATTAAATGTGTCATCAATTATTTAATATTGGAAATAAATCAACAAATATATAAATAAATATCTAATTATTTAATTAATTAAATGCATGTGTAATTAAATAATTAAGTAATTATTTAAATGTCTTTGTTTGTTTGGCGGGAAACAGCCTAGTCTGGCAACCCTGCAGACCAAAGCAATGGTTTGTGACTCGATCAGCGTTAATCCCACCCACTGAGTTTGATGGGAGAGGATGACAGATAAAATTATTTCATGATGCACTGCTGGAGCAGGAAACATGAAATAATTAAATAAATAGTGGAATAAATAGATGTGTTTTTACATAGAATGAATGAACATTTTAAATAATTATTTAAACATTTATTTAATTATTTATATATTTTATAAATCATTTATTTATTTATATATATATATTACCAATTTTAAATAATGAATGACGAATTAAAATAATTATTTAATAACACATGCATTTAATTAATTAAATAATTAGATATTTATTTATATATATGTTGATTTATTTCCAATATTAAATAATTGATGACACATTAAATGATTTAATTAATTATATATTTATATATTTCATTTTGGCACTTTTAGTCCTCCATAGCGTCCTATTGACCTGCATCAATTGCAACCTGAAGCAATTGAAAATTCATTTCATTTCATCATTCATTGTATATTGCAAGCTGTGCTGGTATTCATTGCGATGCTGACCAGGCTGGCAGCGCCACTTTTTAACATCTTTTCTCTGTCATGATCACAAAGGTTCATTTAAAGAAAATGCGGGTATATTGTTCAGTAAATTAAGTTTGTGGAGCGGTGGACAGATTGAAAATACTCCTCAATTAAAGTTAAGAGAGACCAGCTGAGGTGGGCAGCGGGACTCGAGGGAAGAGGACGAGGGTCTCTACATCACAAGGTTGAGAGCTCAACTACTGTGCTGTAGCTAGACGGAGTGAAAACTCCATGCAGAGAAAACAGATGGTTATAAAAAGAGCAAAAGAGCTGCACAGAAACTGCACATGGTAAACCTTGCAGAACATTATATAGGATACATATTATTTATTTTTTTTATTGGCATTTTTTATAAACACAAAGGAAACATACAGTAACAGTTAAACAGTTTCAGACCTTAAACCCATACATGTATCGACAAATGACACAAACTCACATGCCCACACTCAACTTGCACACATTTTTAGGTAAAAAAAAAAAATATATATATATTATATATATATATATTACAATTTCTGTTCAGGTGAAGCCTATATTCCTGGATTCTATAATGTTCATATGTGGTTCCCAGAGCTGGACAAAATCTCTTTAGCAATGTACGTTAGTCTCTCCAAGCCAATACACTCTGAAAGTTCCTTTATCCACATTCTCAATGTAGGAGCGTCCATACTTTTCCAACATAGTGCAATAGCTCGCCTTGCTTGTAGAATTCTAAAGTCCAGAAGTTTGGTCTGTTTGTGCGTTTGTGTAAAGTCCTCTAGAAATATTCCAAGCACACAGAGTTTGACATTTAAAGGAATTTTTGTTTTAAAAACCTCTGACAAACATTTTACAAGTGAATCTTTGGACATTTCCATAGACAGTGAATAAGAGTACCTTTTTCCATTGACACATTTAGTACAAACATCTGGAATATTAGCAGACATATGAGTTATGTACATACTATTATATTATTATATTATACTCCATTTATATTGAAGTAATTTCAATCTTGTATTTATTGTCTGTTTCTGTGCCTTTAAACAAGCATCATTCCAGTCTGCTTCATCAATATCTTCTTGAATGTCATTTCTCCATGCATTTAGTTTGTCTAGTGTTGACTCTTTGGCATTAGACATTAATACATTGTAATATTTAGAGATTTTACCCTTTTTTTCCAAATTATCCAGGGTTATCTTCTCTATTTCTGTTAAAGGTGGAATACACATAATCTGCCCAGACTTGGGCATAAAGTTTTTTAACTGTAAATATTTAAAGAAATGTTTTTTGGGTATTTGATACTTCTCACATAATTGATTGAAAGTAAGCAAAACTCCATCCACATAAAGATCCTTTACTTCCTGAATACCTTTCATACTCCATAATTATAATCCTCCGTCCTTTCTACCGGGTATAAACTTTTCATTATCCCAAATAGGAGTAAATTGAGACAATGAGACAAATCACCTACATGTTTATGTGCAACATGCCAAACTGTAATTGTATTTCTTAGAAGGGGAATTTTTGTTAATTTTTTCAGTGTTTTAATATCTGAAGAATATAAATAAACGTATAAAGGTAAATCCGGAATGGAATTTTGCTCGATATCTACCCAAGCTAGAGGTGTTGTCGGGCAAAAGTAATGTGATGCTGAAGTTAGCTGGGCAGCCATGTAGTACAATCTAAGATTTGGAAGTTGAACAGGAAATTTGTCAGGAAAAATATGATGTCATCAGCATATAATGAAAAAGATGATCTTTCCCTCCGATGGTAACACCTGATATCCCTATGTGCTCTCTAACCTCCATGGCTAAGGGTTCTATTGCCAGCGCAAATAGTAATGGAGACAGGTGTCAACCCTGCCTGGTTGATCGCTGTAAATTAAAGGGCCTTGAGATGTTACTATTAGTTAGGATTTGTGCAGTAGGGTTTGTGTACAATAAACAAATCCATTTGAGAAACATTTCACCTACCCTGTATCTTGGAAGTAATTCAAAAACGTAGTCCCATTCTATTCTATCAAATGCTTGACATGCATCTACAGATAGCATTGCTGTGTCTTTTGCATTATGTCTCTCGTAATATATTTAGTACTCGTTTAATGTTTTGATAACCCTGTCTTTATTTTACAAAACCTTGTTGATCATCAATAACCAATTTAGGGAGATATTTTGTCTCCTAGAAAGTGCCTTGCAAAGTATCTTTGTGTCACATCCCATTAAACTAATTCCCCTGTAAGACGAGCATTCGGTTGGAGGCTTGTTTGGTTTTAGTACAAGGGTTATTGTGGCTAGTCTCAATGAATCTGGGAGTGTTCCTAAACCAAGTGATTCTAGATACATGTCAAGAAGTGGTTGAACAAGTTGTCTTGTGTTTTATAGAACTCTATTGGTAGCCCATCAGACCCAGGTGCTTTACCACTATTTATATCTCCTATAGCTTCACAAAGGTCATCTGTTGTTAGTGGGTTATCTAGTGTTATTTTTTCCTCCTCTGATAGAGTCTGAAATTGTAGCTGGTCAAGAAAAGTATCCTGGGCTTCTCTATTTCCTGTACATTCTGACTTGTAGAGTGATTTAATACTATTAATTGCTCTGTCAGCCTGCATTTTCTTTATCCTCCAAGCCAATAATGTCCCTGCTTTTTCCCCTTGGTCATAAAATGTTAGTTTAGTCCACTTTAGACTTTTAGCCACTCTCTCAGTCATGAAATAAAGATCAACCCATTATGGGCCTGACCAACTCAGCCCAAAGGCCCCAACCAAAAGTGTCTCACTCGACTCATTCTCCTCTCTGACCGAGGACGAAGTCTCTAAGCTTGTGCTAGACTCTCGGCCCACCACCTGTCCTCTGGACCCAATACCATCAAGCCTCCTGCAGACCATTTCCTCTCTGCTTAATGATGCACTTAAGCATATCATCAACTCCTCTCTGTCAACGGGTGTGTTCCCCACGGCATTCAAGCAAGCTTGGGTCACCCCTCTGCTCAAAAAACCCACACTAAACCCAGCCCAGGTTGAAAACTACCGACCGGTTTCTCTTCTGCCCTTTCTGTCAAAAATACTTGAGTGCACAGTCTTTAAGCAAGTCTCTGAGTTCCTGTCCAGAAACGATCTGTTTGACCCAAATCAGTCAGGCTTTAAGCGAGGCCACTCTACTGAAACTGCACTACTGTCAGTAACAGAATCGCTACGAGCTGCGGGTCAGTCCTCAGTTCTATTACTGCTAGACCTGTCTGCTGCCTTTGACACAGTCAACCATCAAATCCTCCTATCCACGCTCCCTGAACTTGGCATCTCAGGATCTGCCCTCTGCTGGTTCGTGTACTACCTCTCTGGGTGATCCTTTAGAGTGTCATGGAAGGGAGAAGTGTCCAAAGCGCACAGCTTATCCACAGGGGTACCTCAAGGGTCAGGGCTTGGTCCCCTTCTCTTCTCCATATACACAAGCTCACGTAGTTCAATAATCCGCTCTCATGGCTTCTCATACTACGGCTATGTTGACGATACCCAGCTCTTCCTGTCATTCCCGCCAGACGATGTTAAAGTCTCAGCAAGAATCTCGTCATGCATGCTGATATCTCTAAATAGTTGAATGAACACCACCTTCAACTCAATCTTTTAAAGACTGAGCTCCTTGCCATCCCCGCCAGTCCCTCTATGCAACCACAGATCAATATCCAGCTTGGAACAACCAAACTCATGCCCACAAAGTCTGCCTGGAACCTGGGTGTCATGATTGATGACCAGCTAACTTTTAAGGTTCAAGTAGCCTTGATTGCCCTGTCATGTCGATTTGCCCTGTACGACATCAGGAAAATCAGACCTCACCTGTCAGAACATGCTACACAGCTCCTGGTACAGGCTCTTGTGATATCACACATCGACTATTGCAACTCTCTACTGGCAGGTCTTCCTACATGCACTATCAAACCCCTGCAGATAATACAAAATGCAGCAACACGACTGGTCTTCAACCTTCCTAAAACGCAACAGAGTCCTAAGTCTCTGACTAGACTCTTTTCCTCTGTCACCCCCCGGTGGTGGAATGAACTTCCAAACTCCATTCGATCTGCAGAGTCCCTCTGCACCTTTAAGAAAAAGCTAAAGACCCAGCTCTTTCATGAATACCTACTATCTTAATGATGATGAGCTCGATATTATTGATGATGATAATGATGGTAATGATGATGGTTTTTGTTTGATAACGACGACTTGATGGTTTCTATACTGATTAGAGCTCTCAAGAACTGCCATCAATGTTGTGCTTTGCCTCTGTGCAATGCCTGTCAGCGCCTGTGTGTCCAATCGGACTCAAAGCTGATCGTTTGCTCTTACTGACATTGTTCCCTTTTTTCTAGATCCTTGCTTGTGTTGTACTTACTCTCTGATGTACGTCGCTTTGGATAAAAGCGTCTGCTAAGTGAATTGGAGAACTGTAGGAAGGCCATTAGTTTTCAAGAACTGTCGGAGCCAAACGACCGTCAAGCCTCTAATGTCGAACTTGTTTTGAGAACTAGGCTTCTGCTTGGTGAGAATGGCGAGAAGTTTGGTTCCAGTTGCTGTGGCTATGCCTGTGGCTTTTTCGGTTTAGGTGTCTTGATGATGGTAGAGATGTGGCCTGGGATCTGCTGGGAGTTAGTGAGATTTAACTTTGATTGAACATGGCGGGGCAGCATTATGTTGAGCAGGGACTGCAAACTGCTCTGCTGGCATGCTGGACTGATGTCTTACTGCTGCTCCATGGGTGGATGATGAACGGTTTCGAACTGTTCGTCAATCAGGTCTTTCTCAGCGTTGTGCAACTGAAGTTCGGGATCCCAGTATTTTTTTTGTGAAGGTTTTTTTTAAAATAATGCAATCAGCTTTTCAGCGTGATGCAGAGTCTGTCAACGTGTCCTGGAAGAACTAAGACAAACAGGAAGGAGTGGGATGGCTGGGTATAAGTAGGCTTGTTAAGTGATTGAAGGTGTGGTTAAATGTTGTTCAGTTCCTGAACCTAAGTAAATTAACTTAATTTACAGTAGTTCATTTATATCTTAAGAGGTACTAATTGTTATGTTAATCTTTGATTTTATTTTCATGGCTGCACCATGGGTGAAGAGCCAAAGACAAATGTCTTGCCTTGTGGGATAAATAATGTTAATCTTGAATCCTAAATGATTGAAATCATTTTGATATAAGTTCTACTTATTTTGAACAGTTAATTGTTGGAGTGGACGGGACAAGCGGGCTCCAAACCATGCATGCAGTGGCTGATGGGATTGTTGGGGTGGAAGTTCTTGAATTCATGGTTGATTACATGTAAGTCAAGGAAAAACTTAAAAAACGACCTTTAAAACATTAGTTTTCTTCAATGTTTTTAAAATATGTCATGTTAGATTCTGAGTTGTTTTCTCTGCTGCGTAGGAAAGAAGAAAAGCCAAGTACAGTCGTTTCTCCTGTCAAAGATTTACCTCATCCCCAAAAACTCAAGTTCAACATCACACCTGAGATCAAGAAGGAGATCGAAGAGGCCAAAAAGCACTTGGACATGTGAGAGACAGAAATACAAACAAAAAGCTGATGTTATCATTTCTGTTAGCTTGTGATGCTAGGTGAAACTGCTACATGAAGCATACATTCTTAAAGATTTCACTGCAGGTTATGATTGTGTTCATAAATTCATCATCTGTATGATATACTGTATGTGTAAGATAAATATGAACAATTATAATATAATTCCATGTTTAAACTCACAAATGAGCACACAGATCTGAATACATTTCTGTCTAATATAGAAAAATCTCATACCGACAGGTTGGCCAGAGGTTTTGATCTGAAGAACAAAGTGTTTGAGCACTTTGGTAAAAACCTTCTTAAGTCCCTGAAGACCAGTCCTGATGGTTTCGTGCAGATGGCGGCACAGCTGGCGTACTTCAGGTGAGTCACTAAGAAGGCACAAAGAGACTGACTGTCTTTGTCAATGTTAGAATTTTATTTATTAAACACCTTTGTGCCCTCAGCAGTAATGATTTCATGAGCTTTTTTAACAACAAAATTCTAGACATCAGAGACAAAATTGGTAACCTCCTGCCCTTACCTGGTGCAGATACCTCTGATATGGCAGAAACAGTTCCAGGACCTGATATTAACCTCAACTCTTTTTTTCCAATCAACCTTTCAGAACTAAATTCAATTACTTCTGCGTCCAACTCTATATGAGATACGATCAATATGTCTTTACTGGCAGACTATGTACCACAGTCATTTAAAGTAGCTGTAATCAAACCTCTACTTAAAAAAACCTATTCTAGATTCAGGAACTCTAGCTAACTATAGGCCTATATCCAACCTTCCTTTTATCTCAAAGATCCTGGAGAAAGTGGTAGCTAATCAGCTGTGGGACTTTCTCCATGACAACAGTTTATTTGAGGAGTTTCAATCAGGATTTAGAGTCCACCATAGCACTGATACTGCACTAGTCAAAGTTAAAAAACGATCTACTTCTAGCTTCAGACAGGGGACTTCTCTCTGTGCTCGTCTTGTTGGATCTAAGTGCTTTTGACACGATTGACCATCAAATCCTATTATACAGACTTGAACATTTACTTGGAATTACAGGGACTGAAGTTGGTTTAAAAACTATTTATCAGATCGATCTCAGTTTGTACATGTTAATGATAAGTCCTCTAGTGCCGCAAGGTTCAGTGCTTGGACCAATTCTGGGAGGTAGAGCCTTCAGTTATCAGGCCTGCTAGTGGTATCTACAGTCTCTAAATTTACTATGGGAAATAGAGCCTTCAGTTATCAGGCCTGTTTGTGGTACAGTCTCTAAATGTACTATGGGAGGTAGAGCCTTCAGTTATCAGGCCTGCTTGTGGTACCTACGGTCTCTAAATGTACTATGGGAGGTAGAGCCTTCAGTTATCAGGCCTGCTTGTGGTACCTACAGCCTAGGCCTGGGCGATAAAACGATAACGATAATTAGCTGATCATGTCACAGGGGTATGGGAAGGTGGGCTTACAGATGTTCGGGGCGGAAATGAAACACAGCCAAAATTAGCGATAGCAGCACTGAATAAAACAGTGAGTGTACTGGCTCAAAGCAGGAGAAAACATTGTCGATGAAACTACTAGAACAAAAAATAGAGTAAAGTGCTCTGTTAATGTTAACTGTGCCAAAGACGAGTGCAGCTAAAAAAGCCCCGATCTGAAACATCATTACCCGTTAGAACACAGAAGGAAAGAAGTGTCCAAACTTCCCAAACAAGTTTTAGTGTGGACCGTATTGTAAATATTATAAACAGTGTAAGGTGTGGACCCTCAGTAAGCAGGGGCCCGTAAGTGTGACTCACCAGCAGCAAACTGTCATATCAGTGTTTCCAGCTAAGTTCACTGAGCTTATGATGGTGAAATGTTCCTGTTTAATTTTAGTTTGTCATTTTCTGACAATAAAGAATAATTAAATCATGATCAACCATCTGGTTTCTTCAACTTTCACTCAGGAGCAAAAATCTGCTTTTAAATGTGAAAGAAATAATGATTGACAATTATCGTGATAATTATTGATATCGACTGATATTATTTTTTTTATTGTGATAACATTATTTGTCATATCACCCAGGCCTAGTAGAGCCTTCGGTTGTCAGCCCTGCTCGTGCTACCTACAGTCTCTAAATGTACTATGGGAGGTAAAGCCTTCAGTTATCAGGCCTGTTCGTGGTACAGTCTCTAAATGTACTATGGGAGGTAGAGCCTTCAGTTATCCTCTCCTCTGGAATCATCTTCCAGCCGGGGTCCCAAAGGCAGACACAATCTGTATTTCTAAGAATAGACTTAAAACTTTCCTGTTTGATAAATCTTATAGTTAGGGCTGGCGCTGGTGTAGACCAGCTCCTAGTTATGCTGCTATAGGCTTAGAGCAGTGGTTCTCAAACGTTTTAGACTGCATACCACCTCTAAAAATATTTGGCTCTCCTAGTACCACCATTATGGTAGACGTTAAAATACACGGTAGGCCTATTTTCTACACACATTTTACACAGGAGGCAAATTAATTCATAAAAAGAATATGATTTATTATTGACTGTTGGCAGCCACGCTGTAGGCCTACTAAGGGCTGGTGATAGAACTGGCACTTAAACTCCACACAACACTGACATTTGCTCAAATCAAAAAAAGTGCAGCACAATAAAAATGACAACTTCATACCAAACAACCTGTTTGAGAATATTTAATCTCCAGTGTTTCCCACACAAAGATGATACCTGGGCCCAAGTATATTTTTGGCCTGTTCTTATTTAATTTTTCATTTTTTCATAAAATTGCTGCGTGCGTGCGAGAGAGAGAGAGAGTCAGCGAGTGAGAGAATGCAAGCTCCGTGCAACCAGAGCCTCTGTATTATAAGGCTCCGCGTTCAACATAGCAAAAAAATTCCCTTTAAAAAAAATCCTTCTTGACTCCTGTGCATAGTTAAGACAGCAAAATAGAGCAGAATCACATCAGCTTCTGAGCAAGAGAGAGAGAGAGAGAGAGAGAGGGTGAAACACTGTCCTTACACTCTTGTAAATGCATCACAATGGAAGCATCTCCTGGCTCCGTTTTAAAAATGTGAATGTACAGCTGCTTGCCACTGATTCTGTGCTAAACTCCAATAAATAACAGAATATCTGTTAATGTAGGCCTACAGCTGCTTTCTGTTTATTCAGTACTGAACTCCTACAAATAACAGAATATCTGTTAATGTAGACCTACAGCTGCTTTCTGTTGATTCAGTACTCAACTCCTATAAATAACAGAATATGGAGTGGAACTTTTCAAAACGCGAGGCGTACTCCATGGTGTTTATGTCTTTGCACGTGCGCGAGCATAAATTGAGAAGATTAAAGTTGTTTGTTGCAAAAACTAGATTAATTTAGAGGGGAAACACATTTGATATAAATACAACCCAATAGATACAAGACAGATAAGATAAAAGTAGGACAAAAAATATTTTTTATAAAAGGTTTTTTTTTTCTAATATTGTGGAGATTTCGGTATAGTTTGAGAACCACTGGCTTAGAGTCACGGGGAAACTGGCATGTTGAGTTCTAATTTCTCTCTCCCCCCCCCCCCCCTGTGCATATGCAGTACATCGTATTACTGCATATATCTATCTGTAAATCTCCGTCACTAACCACATACTGTATATATAATAAGTATTTATACTAAAGGAAAATAGTTATATAAAGAACACACTAATCCAGTGCCTATTCACTTGTAATATATCTTATTGAAACAATTGGTATTATTTGTTGAGGTAATAATAACAAAAACAATTTAGAAAAACAGAAAACAAACACAACCCCCTGCCCCCCAAATGAAACAAATTCAGAGTAAGGTCTTTTACCTGCTTTTTAAGTGTCTCCAGATAACACTTGTTATGAATCGTCACTATACAAATAAAGATTGATTGATCTCTTAACAGGAGGAAACAACCAACAGCTTCAAGTCCCCTCAGACACTAATCTGCATCATGATGTCAAATTTAAGAGCCATTAATGTGAATGAAAATCATTTTCTTTTTCAGGTTCATACTGCTGAAGGAATAGAAAGTGAAGCAGTTGAAACACTTAAATACTAATGTTCAACTTCGATTCAACAGATTAATTCAACTACTCCATGACATATTGGACAAGTCTTGTTTAAAAGTCGGACCAACACTAACCTCTGGCGCCATCAAAATTACAGAGAAATGCATGTCTATTCCCAGAACCAAATATGGTCTGTCAGATTATTGTAGATTATGATTGCCAATGGGTTCCAAGGTTGTTATCATCTTAATCAAACTGGAGAGAAACATAAAGTTAGGGAACTCAGACTGGTTGACATGTTTTGTTTGTTAAAATATCTGTCTTCTCTCATCAGGATGCACAAACAGATTGGTCTCGCCCTTGAACCTGTTACTCTGCGACTGTACAAACAGGGACGTTTAGGAATCATCAACGTAACTTCAAATGCTTCCACCACCTTTGTCAAAGCCTTCAATGACTCCAAAATACAGGTCTGACAGAAGGAAACTGAAAATGTATTTTTAAAGTATTCTGTGCTGGTTTTAAGAACCAACAGAGGCAGGTATAGGTTCAGATGAAGATTTTAAAACAATACAATTGTCACGGTCAAGTTGAAAAACAAAAGAGGTGGACCCAAGTGCAGAATTAAACTGAAACTAATTATTAAACAAAAGGCAAACAAAAAGTTACTTAAATTCAAATCCAAAACTGTCAAAAACTGGTAAGCACAGGTAACTAGACACTGGGAAACAACTGGCATCCAAACACGACAACTACAAACTACATACAACAACTAACATTGATCTGACACAGAAGGGAAGAAACACAGAGACTAATGACACAGGTGAAGACACTGAGGGCAATCACACTGGAGGGAAACATAGAGGCAGGAATGAACACAAGACAAAAAACACTGGAGAACTACAATCTAAATACTGAACACACAGAGAACTCAAGAATTGAACCATACATAATGTAGAACCAACCCTACCCTAACCCACACTAGGATTACAAATCACAAAATAAATCAGGAAACACCAAAGACCAAACTAGGAAACATTCAAAGAAACTCAATGGACACAAGCAACACTAGGGAAGAATACAGTAAGAAAAACTACAAGAAGAAGATCTAAAACAAAACAAAACCTGACCAAATCATGACAGCACTCTGTGGGAATGGAGCAGAGTAAGGCAGGTGAGTTTGCAGGGGGGTTCGAGTCCAGAGATCCAGAGATATGTGCTGATACAGGTGGAATCGAGTAGATGAAGTAGTGGAATGGAGTTGAGCAGAGAATAGCTGCAGGCAAAGGAGTAGAAGTGGGAGTAATTTGTATAAAGTTGGTAAAGAAGATTCAGAATGGCTGGAACAAGACTTACCGAGTAAACTGAGTTTACGATCTGGCAGGGCGGAGGAGTAGGAGCTCAATGTTTGTAGAGTTGGTTTGCAGCTGCAGTCCAACTCCTGCACACCTGATCCCACTACTGCAATCAAGCACATTATTTATTCATTAGCACAGAGTCTATAAAGTTATTTTAAAATGATTCATGTTTAAAGTTACATTGATATTATTAATGTTAGGGTGATTAATATACAGTTAGAGATAAGTGTTGTTTCTCTTCTGTTGAACAGAACTCGGAGAAACTCGATCTGTTGGAGAAAGCTCTAAAAGTTCACAAAAGGAACATTCACCTGGTGAGTTCAATATTCATCTTTCTACCTTTCTATCTTTTAGCAGAACGTTTCAAGTTCTCTGTGGAGTTCTAAACATTTCATGAAGATCATGTTGGGATAACAGTGTATATTCAAATATGTAATGGACCAGTGTCTAGGTTCTCAGGAGGGGTTTAAAAGTAATTTGACAGACACAATAAGAACTGGAGCCACAATGTACTTTAAATGAAAGATATATATTGAAACAAAATGTCTCCTTTAAACAAGCACGAAATGCTTTTGAAATATTAAATGCAGCATTAACGGGCATTCAGTGTAACCAAAATGTTTACAGTGTACATAAACAACAAATAAACACAGATCCCTTGAAAAGGTCTCTTTTAAGAGTTGAAAGTTCTTGTAGTTCTCCTTTAAAGTTTGAATGTTCTTGTGTTGAAGTCAAGTCAAGATTTAGTCAGATAGGTCAATGTCATTCAGTTCAAGAGCTCTTATTTTGAAAGATCCAAAAGTCAGGTGGTCTTAAGTCTGGCTTCAACAGTCCTACCACACTGGTACACTCAAGTGATGGGATGGAAGAAATTTTGGTTTCCTCCTCACAGGTTCAGGGTTGGCTCGCCATCTCCTTCGTCAAGGAGAATCCACATCCTCCTCACAGGTTCAGGGTCGGCTCGCCATCTCCTTCATCAAGGAGAATCCACATCCAATCTATGAAGGTTTCAGGATACCTCAAAAACCTAGCCTGTACAGAAACAGGGCTATTACTTCTCAAGTTATCAAATTCTCAGTCTCTATGGCCATAATGAGATTAAATTCAAACTCTCAATATCATTACTGCAACACAATAATGATTAAATACATAAAATATATTTAACTGTACAGTATTTGTTATCAAATTGTTTTATCATCACCACAGGGCGGCTGTGGCTCAGTTGGTAGAGTCGTCACCTCTCAACTGGAAGGTCGAGGGTTCAATCCCCAGCTGAGCAACATGTCCGATGTGTCCTTTGGCAAGACACTTAACCCTGAATTGCTCCCCCTGCTACAGTGGTGGCGTATGAATGGGATTAGTTACTTCTGATACACTACATAGTGATCACTACCATCAGTAGTAGGTGTGACATGCAGTGTAAAAGTGCTTTGAGTAGTTGGAAGACTACAAAAGCGCTATATAAACTCAAGTCCATTTACCATTTACCATCATTCTTACCTCAATCATGAATTACATTTTTAACCCCTGAAATAAAGAATATTTAACATTTTAACAAATGCATGAAATGTGTACCTCTATTCCATGAGTGCAAATTCTTCACTAGAAATTATTTTTACACTTGCTGTGCATGCAATAGCAGCACACTGTATATGTATTTAAATCAATACAAAATATTCAAAACAGGGCAAAATAAAATATTTATCTGTGGCTTATTTACTCAAAAATATGCTTCATTAAAGCTTTTAAACATCTTAAACATGAGTTATAAGTGAACTTCACACATCAGAATGAAAGCACTAGCTTCCTGTGGCGCCTCGTGTTGCTAATGACACAGGCTAATATGACTAGCCATGCTAGCTTATCGCCGCTAACTCACCAAGACACTGCCCAAAGCTCTCAAACTCCAGGCACAGAAGTCCGGTGGTTATCTCTCCCTCTTCTCCAAGTGTTGTCTTGAAGAAGAGGGAGAGAAGTGTCTAGCTTGCTGTTGCGGTGGCAAGCTAGACGTTTTCATCAAGTTTTATACTGGTTTGAAATAAGTTTCTCTCTATGTGAGTAGCACTCATTTCATTTCTCCTACTCTGGGTCTGCACTATCAGACTTCTATGCAGGAGATAATACTGTTATTAAACAACACTACAGAGCCCAATTTTCAACCGGACTACAATCACAAGAACTAGAGAGTTCCTAAAAGTCTTCATGTGATCTGAGTTGTTTCAATCTTTCAGGGCCTCCGTGGACAAGCAGTTGAAGGACATCTCCTCGGTCTGCAGATGCAGGCTGCAAATGAAAAAATCTCGACTCCTCAAATCTTCACAGATGTCGCCTATGAAAAAGCTTTCAACTTCCAAATGATAGCTGGTCAGGTAAGGACGAGTTTAAACCTCGTTTTCATGTAGTGTGTTCGATTCACTGTGGCCTGATATCATTTATCTATGTACCTGAATAAAAATGGAGAGTTCATTCAGATAATCATTGATAGTTATTCAAATTCCATTTTAGTTTACCAACTCTAGTGGCATGAATGTAATGGACAATATTGTATGGACAACACATATTACAGAATACAAAAGTTCAAAAACAATAGAAATTGTTTTAAATCAAAGAAGACCCACACGCAGAATCACAGGGCAGAGGCTGGAATAAGGCAAAAACTAACCCTAACCCTATCTCGAGCATGTATCAGAGATCTCTGTGTTACAAACATAACTTGCTTTCTTCTTATTCTAAAGGTTACGGCATTCAGGAATGGCATTGTTCCATGTTCTAGTCCTGAAGAACTGGGACTGTACGACATAAACTACGCTATTAAAAACGATCACATGGAGTTTTTAGTGTCTTGCTTTGAATATGCTGAGACGGACAGAGAAAAGAATTCAGCAGAGATGATTAAAGCTGTGGAAGATGCCATGTTGGACATGAGGACCCTGTTGGAAGAAAGAGCAAAACTAGGAATATAATTCAGCCATATTTGTTTTTGAAAAAACAAAATCTCATTTGTTGGACCTGAGGGTCAGGGTGAGGTTTCTAACAGTCTGGCCAATGAATTCTAAAACAGTGAAATAAAATCCAATAGTCATACATTATAATTATCATATAAATGTGTTATTTTATAATATACTGTTTTATCAATAACTGTGTTTGAAGCCAGCTTCTCTCTGTTTGGCTAACTTCAGCTGTTTATTTTAAATTGAAATGTTTAAAAACATTGTTTTGTGTTCATGTTTAAGTGTGTTAAACACATCATTTTTGTTAAAGCTCTGCTGTGACTGAACTGAACTAATGACTCAATGCTACATCTAAGAAACACAAGTGATGGAAAGGGTTGTATGATTCATGTAGGGGAAAGGGAAAGAGGGTTTTAACCAAGATGCAAGGGGGTTGCATGTTTGAAATTTGAATAAGTGTTGATGGGAAGGTGGTATGGACATGAAACCAAGATGTAACCCCCCGTTTTTGGGCATGGCCTTTCCAACAGTACCACCCACGAGTGTCTACGACGTCAGGAAGTGGTGTAAAAGCGATTGGTGGATACATTTGTATGTGGTATCTGGGTTAGGGTAGGGGAACTGAGCCCGTCTCATGGAAGGGACAGGAGGTGCACGGCCCAACCCCGGGTTGAACTCATAACCTCGGTCCCAGTTGGGTTGGCGGGGACGTTGGCGTTTTCTGCCGTAACGGACCTCCGTCCAACCCTCATCAAAGTACACCATCTTTGTGGCTTTTTTTTTTTTTTAATTTGTGTGATGTCGCCTTTGTTATTTATTGATAATGTTTTGTTGTATTATTTATTAAGTGGATATAAAATACAAATAAAATATTTATTAATGTGTTTTTAAATCAACTTTTTAAATAAAAAGGACTTACAATGAAATGAAATAAAAGTGTTGTTTTTAAAGAAAAAGAAACTTGTTTTTAAAAAAAATTTGTGTGCCACAGGCAACGTTTCGACCCCTTTTTCGACGTCTTCTTCAGGCCAAGGCACACTGAAAGGTGAGGTAAGAAATAAGTAGCTGGCTGTGTATGCTGGCTGGAGAGATGTTGTCTCTTCTAGTGATGTGTCGTTTGTGAACGATTCGTTCAAAAAGAAGGAATCATCTGGGTGAACGAACTGAACTGAATCACTTACTGAAAAGAGTCGTTAATTTCTTCAGTTGCGCTCTCCTCTCTCCTGTCTCATGTCTCTCTCACCAGACCGCGAGAGTCGCTGAAAGCCTGCCCTCCCTCTCCCTTTTATGTCAGTGATACAAACTGACTGAACCAACAGGACAGAGTCAGTCAGGAGCCCTGTGTCGCTAAAGCCCGCCCCTACTTCTCCCTCTCATGTCTCCAAAATCGAGGAAGTAGAAAATATTGTATTTAACATTTAGGTGTCGTGAAAATGTATGTGCTTTTTATAGCTGCTGTCAGTTTGCAAACAGCTTTTATATCCAACTTAATTTCACTCAGCTGACTGTTTTTACATCCACTAACGACGGTCTCAATTCCATCGTGTTTCAGTCAGTACAGTGTGTGTGTGACTGAGGCTGGTGACTCGCAGTCTCGCTTGTTCACTGAACTGTAGTACTGCAGGAGTCCTGATTCTCTCTCTCTCCCTCTCAGTCAGTCAGTTAGTCAGTGAGTGATTTGTGTACTGAACGTACTGAACAGAACATTCAGGGAAAATATATATGATTGTTTTAGCAGCTTTCAGTTTGCAAACTGTAGCTTTATCCAACTAAATTCTCAGTTCATTGGCTTATTGTTCACCACCGGCCGTTCTCAGTACGATCGCGAGCAGAACTAAACGTTCGGCCGTGTTTCAGCTTATTAAATTCTGATTCACAGACAGAGCTGCAGAGAAGTACTGAATAATTCAGTGAACAAATCTTTTGAACGAATCACTTTACTGAACTGATTCTACTGATTCAGTACACTGAAAAGAACTGCTTTTCACATCACCAGTCTCTTTTCGACGGTCTGACCAAGAATGAGCTCTCTCTGTGAGCTCCTCCCCTTTTTAGACTTGCACTTGTTTGGTTTCACTTTGTCTCTCTCTATCGTCTCTGTGACATACGTGTGGTTTCTTCCCCTTTAATGCCTGTAAGAACTGAAATAAATTAGGGCTGGGCAACGATTAAAAGTTTTAATTGCGTTAATCGCATGAGTTCCTGTGATTAATCGCATTGTTATACGCAAAATCCAATAATGAATTAAAAAGTAGTGTATAGCGCACTTTTATTGTAAATGTACTTCTCAACTTAAACAATGTAATCAAAGCAAATAAATACAAAACTCAAGCTTATTGCCACTGCAGGGGCATAGTGTCATCCTGTTTGTTATGTATAAAAAACAAACTGCCCAGAAAGGTTTTAAGAGGTATAATGAAAATGTCGGGACAAGTGAGGGAGAGTGTGACAGGTCACTTGAGAACATTGATGTTTATTGTTTGGTTATCGGGGACCCCAGAAACACATTTTTGTTGTACTTGTCATTTTGAAATTCTTTAGTTTATAATCTTTTTGAATTCATCTTCAAAGTTGCTAATGTTAATGTATTTTTTGAACTGCAACATTATTCAAGCAGTTGATGTTGACATGTTATTAATTAAATCAGCTGCATAATCTACGCCTCAAGGTGGAGTCTGTGAGTGAGAAACAGTGACGGTGAATTTTTTTATAACTCATCGGATTTTATGCTATTAAGGAAAACAGCTATGCCCATATTTGGTTGTGTCAGATTTGATTGACAGCTCTGCGCGCTGCATCTGTCTGTCAGGTCAGCAGGTCAGCAGGCTAACAGCTTGATCCGTCTGATTTCTCCTCTTTTTTACTTCGTTTGGAGAGTTTGTTTAACACATATCTGACAACATACATGGCTTGCTGTGCGGTTAACAGACCATCCAACAAGTTGCTGCTTCAGTTTTTTTCGGTAAGTGATATAGTAGTGTTATATTTACTGCTTACTCATGTGTCGGTATTTATATTTACGGACCTAGCTTGTTTAGCATTAGCTTGTAAACCAGTCGGCTAACGGTGTAGCTCATTATTTACATTATTTACGGTCAATGGTTTAGAAATGTTTGTTGTTAAGATGTTGTTGTTTAAAATAATGAGTTTGTGTGATGTTAGAAGCTAAAGGTTCACCTCGGTGGTTATCTGACGTTATGATGAATGTTATACTCCACGTAAATGTGGACATTAAAAAACAAACTTTGTGTAGTAATTATCCGTCAGTAACATAAACTGAACTGAACCTAATGTGCTGTGTAGGTTATAGAGGATGACATTAAAGTTACATGGTTGATGTAGCGTCTTAAGGTTTGTGCAAACTGTTAACAAATTTAAAAAAAAATGCACTTTGTAAGAGCATCTGTAACCATTAAGAACTATATTAATAACCATATTAATTTTCACTGAACTCATACACAGAATATAGCAGTAGAAATATAAAATATAAATAACATATGGAATGAAAATAAGATATAAAGCACATAGATATAAAGTATAAGAAATAGTTTGAAGAATACAGCCATGTACTGAGCTCATGTTAATAATAAATGAGTTACTGTATGTTCTGTACTAAAGCACAGAGAGTTGGGACCTGTTAATGATTTAAATAATTCAGATTATATTTGTTTCATGTTAAGATGAAGTACTATCCACAATAAACTGCTTAATTTTTCCTCACACAAAATCTGAGACAATTTGATGTGGAATATCATTGTGTGAGTGAGAGAGCTGAAAATAGCATGATTACAATAAGGTTTATCTTCTTAACTTTAAATAGATGTTGATTACCTGAATACTGTACCTTTGTTGTCTGGGTAGTACACTGTTGAATTTATAAATGTGCTCTTACACACAGATGAATACAGAAAAATAGATGAGAACAAAAAAAATGATTTAATGAATAACTGATATTTTCTCTCTTTCTTTGCCATCCTGAAGACCCCTCACTAAAAGTCCATGTTCTCCTGGATCCATGTCACATGCTCGAGCTCAACAGTCGAAGTTCTGGTGAGAGAAGATGTCCAGCAGATAAGACAGCAGTACATCAAGGAGCTCCACAAGCTTCAGAAGGAGGAGGGTTTGCACTTTGGAAGACTGTATTCATGCTGTTCAAATAAAACTAGATCTCCTCCAAACAACTTGCAATCAAACCATTTTCTTCCCATTTTAAAACCCTTTGTCCAGTTTAGATGGGAGAAGTTGATATTATGTGATATTGATCAGGGAAGACTACATTTCTAAATCATTTTTAACTGTGTTTTTATTCACAAGTTATTGATCTTATTTACTCTCCATGGATCTTGATTTAAGAATGGGGCTGTGTTTAAGGGCATATTTTTGCAATGACTCTGTTCCATCCCATTTTCAGAAATCAACTACATTAGTATTTGTTAAAAAAAAAGTCGAAAGAATAAGAAGTTGTGTAAAAGTAGACTTCCTTCCCTAAGCTATTGAGTTGAGCATTAATGCACATTTTAGGCATTTTCATTTCAAATCTGAAATGTATACTCATAAGTAAACATAAAGGAGTGCATTTATATAGAAATATTTATTTAATCTGGAAAACAACATTAAAAAAAGTCTGTTTTTACAGCAGAGATGAACATGTTTACAGCTTGGTACAAAACAAACAAATAGGTTTGATTAGCTCATGTCTCGATGGACAAACACTGTACGGGGGGGGGGTGAATGTTTTGATGACTCATCAGTTTTGATTTGATGAAGGATAAGAGTTATTCACAATAAGGCGTGTAGCTGACCAGCTTGACAGGTGGACGTGGTGTAACGGTTTGTCAAGAGGCTTAAAACCTGTCTCAGCTCCAGCTCTCAGCCTGTGGGTGACATCACTCAGGCCATCCGGGGGAGACCTCCCTCACAGCGAGCTGTTGAAGAGAAGCAAATGAAGTCCACCTCAGAAGAACCAACAAATGCAGATGTTGTTGAGGCTCAGGTTTCTTCCTCTGTCTCTGCAGCTCTCTGGGCACCTCGATGGACCAGTCACCAATAATCCACACTGTGTCTATAGGAGAAATACAAAGGTGCCTCAGACAAGACAAAATGTACAGTTAACTAGGTGTGACAGCTCAGGGTGTTTTTTTGTTATGAGCCACATCTGCAGGAATAATATTGAACAAGGTAGCTGCAACTCATAATAATAGATGCCAGTCTTAAACACTATTTTTACTAATACTTAGTTTTTGGTGTGAAGCTGACACTGTCCACAGACTCCATGACTTCACGGGGTTCAATAGAAAACAAATGTCTTATAATAAATACTATATAATTATTTTTCAATTGTCATGTTCACCTCATTGCTGCTGACATCAGTAAATATAAAACACAGACATTCCCCATTTTGTCAGCCGGTCCCGCCTTACTGCTGTCGTTAGGTTGATTCGATGTTAGGTTGAGACTGCAAATCCAATATGGATGCGGCCGTCGATTGGACTCATTTTCTGCCTATGTAACAGACGGGTCAGGGTTCGTCCAGTAATATTTACAGTCTATGGCTCGCTCACTATGGAATTTTACAAAATAAAAGCCAGTGAGCAACAGACTTTTACAATAAGAAAATAAATAATAAAAACTGCGTTAATGCGTGATAAAATAATTGTGGGCGATAATTAATTAATTAGTTCTTGCAAAAATAACGCGTTAACGTGCCCAGCCCTAAAATAAATATTTATTCTTTATGAAATCTGTCTGAAATATTGTTTTTATTAAATATATAATAATTTGTATATATTTATACAAGTTTTTTTTAATCTATTAATGTGTACATATATGTGTTTAATCTTGACTTGTGAATTTATTTATAGGATTAAATGTGTAAAATATTTTTATTGAATTGTTGTCAATAGG